CAAACAAGAATGATCGAGGAAGAAAAAGAAGAAGATCACGATGGCGATGAATTACACTAACAAAAAATTTTCAGCAAGTCTCCCAGTTCTTAAAGGTGATAACTATGAGAGTTGGTGCAAATAGATGAAGGTTACATTTTGTTTTCAATGTCCTTTAGATCTTGTGAAACATGGATTAGAACCACTTGATGAAGACGCTTCAGAAGAAGAAGCGGAATACAGAGAATTGAAGAAGAAGAATTATAAAGCTCTCTTTATAATTCATCAATGTGTTAGTCCAGACAATTTCGAAAAGGTTAGTGATGTAGAATCTGCAAAAGAAGCTTTGGAAATTTAGAAGAAATCGTTTGGAGGCGCTGAAAAGGTGAAAGAGGTGAGGTTACAAACTCACAAAAGAACGTATGAATTGCTTCAGATGGAAGATAACGAGAGAATATGTGATTTCTTCACTAGGGTTATGAAGCTAGTGAATCAAATCAAGACTTGTGGAGAGTCGTTAACAATAAGAGCAATTGTTTCAAAGATCTTGAGATCTTTGGCTCCGAAATACGACCATGTGGTAGTTACCATAGAAGATTCAAAGGACATGTCAACTTTTTCAAAAGAAGAGCTTCAAGGGACACTTGAATCCCATGAATAAAGAATGGCTGAAAGGGCCACAGGAAATTTGAAGAGTGACGTGGCTTTGTAGGTGCAGTCAACAAGTCATAAGAAAGGAAAAGGAAAATGGTTCAACAATAAAGGTAGAGGTGGTTATATCAATTCGACTGGTAGAGGAAACCAGCACGAAGAAAATGTGTCAAGTCAGACAAGACTTTACCAAGGCAACTAAAGAGGTGGTGTTGCAAATAGAGTAAGATGTGGTGGTCAAAAACTTGACAAGAGACACATTTAGTGTTACAATTGTCAAAAGTATGGTCACTACTCTATTGATTGTCCAGAAAAGCGAAAGAATCAAGAAATTGATGCAAAGTTCGTAAAGTATGAAGAAGAAGAGATGTTGCTGATGGTCACAACAAGAGATGAAGAAAAATTCAAGGATCAGTGGTACTTGTATTCAAGATTCTTATCACACGTGTCTGGAAGGAAAGATTGGTTTGTCATCCTAAAACTCTTGATGAAGAACATGGTGAAATTCACAAATGACAATACTCTAGCAGCTAAAGGTATTGGAGATATTTTGATAATGAGGAAAGATAGAAAAGGTCAGTAATTTCCAATGTGATGTACATACTAAGCATGAAGAGCAACTAGCTTATGATATGGTAGTTAGTCAAAAAGAATTATAAATTATCAATCAAAGGCAAGATGATGAAAGTCGGCAATGCAAATGGAAGATTAATCTTGAAGGCTCATTGTCTCATAATAGGACCTTTAAGATCGAACTTAATGTGATGGAGCACCAGTTCCTTTCGATTGCATCTAGCAGAGACGAATGGATATGGCACTATCGACTAGGCCATCTCAACTTCAGAGACATCATAGATTTGAAAAGAAGAAATATGGTTTCAGGATTGCCATAAATTGACATTCCAAATGAGGTGTGTAAAGAATGTGTGCAAGCGAGGCAGCAAAATAATAGCTTCAACAAGGATGCAGAAAGCAAGTCGAAGGCTATTCTCGAAGTCATATACTCTGATGTATGTGGACTAATCCAGGTAGATTCGTATGGAGATAATAAATACTTTGTCACATTCATAGATGACTTCAGTCGAAAACTATGGACTTACCTAATCAAGAAGAAAAGTGAAGTGATCAAGGTATTTAACAAGTTTAAATCTATGGTCGAAAGGTAAAGTGGTCGAAAGCTGAGAATAGATGGTAGTGGAGAATATGTGTCAAAAGATTTCGATAAATCATGTGAAAAAGAAGGGATTTTTGCATGAGGTGGTGCCACCCTACATTCCACAGCAAAATGAAACTGCAAAAAGGAAGAATCAAACCATCATGAATATAGTGAGAAGTATGTTGAAAGGCAAGAATTTACCTAAAGAGTTTTGGGGTGAAGCTGTGTCAACTGTAACATATATTTTGAACAGATGTCCAACGAAGAAGCTAGAAGGAATTACTCTGGAAGAATGTTGGTCTGTGTGAAGCCTAGCTTGAGTCATCTAAAAGTATTTGGATATATTGCCTATAGACATGTGCCAGATCAGTTGAGAAGAAAACTTGATGACAAGTCGAGTCAAATGATCCTAGTAGGATATCATTCAACATGAGGAAGTTAAACAAGAGGAAGAAGTTTGAGATCAACCAAGTACAAGTAGACCTCAAAGAACATGACACATGCCTGCAAGATTGTGTGATTACACCAGATGATGTGGTCAATAACAAAGGAGAGCTGGTACATTATGCTTTCTATACAGATGTCGAATCAATCAATGTAGTTGAAGTATTGAAGGGTTCAAAGTGGTTGAAAGCAATGAACAAAGAAGTGAAGTCCATCGAAGATAACAACACTTGGTCACTTGTCGAATTTCCTCAAGGCAAGAAGGCAATTGATATCAAGTGGGTATACAAAGTGAAGATGAATCCCAAATGACATGTAACTCGACACGAAGCAAGGCTCGTGGCGAAAAGATTTCTTCAAAAAGAAGGAATAAACTTCGATGAAGTTTTTGCACCTGTGGCTAGAATCAAAACATTTAGGTTGGTTGTTGGTATAGCAGAAATAAACAGTTGACACATATGTCAGATGGACGTGAAGTGTTCATTCTGAAATGAACCCTTAGACGAAGAAGTTTATGTTAAACAACCAATTAGATTTGTGAAGAATGGCGAAGAAAGAAGGGTGTACAGGCTACATAAAGCCCTATATGGATTGAAACAAGCTCTAAGAGCTTGGAATAAGAAGATTGATAATTTTCTAAGGGAAAAGGAATTTTTGAAGTGCACAACTGAACATGGAGTATATGTAAGAAGAAACAATAGTGAATTACTTATACTATATCTCTATGTCGATGACTTGTTAATAACACGTAGCTGCAAGAAGGAGATCGAAGACTTCAATGGTGATTTCAGCAAGGAATTCGAAATGTCAGATCTGGGTGATATTTCATACTTCATTGGCATCGAATTCTACGAGAGTAGTAGAGGTTTAATGATGCATCAAAGAAGATATGCAGGAGGAATTCTCAAGATATTTGAGATGGAAGAATGCAACTCGACTTCGACACCTACATATTAAGACTGCAACTGTCAAAAGATTTAGAAGAAGATGATGGTGACCCAACCCAATACAGAAGACTTATTGGGTCATTGAGATACCTTTATCATACAAGGCCTGACTTAGCATATAATGTATGTATGGTAAGTAGATTCATGCAGAAGCCAAAGGTATCACACCTAGAAGCGACAAAAAGGATATTGAGGTATCTGAAAGGAACTCTTGACTATGGCATTTTATTTCATGCAGCTGATAAAGGAAAAGAATGCAAGTTAGTCAAATACGCGGATTCAAGTTGGTGTAGTGATGCTGAAGATTAAAAATCCACAACAGGATATGTGTTCATGCTAGGTATTGCACCAGTTGCTTGGAGTTCGAGAAAAGAACCAGTAGTGACATTGTTATCGTGCGAAGCAGAGTATATAACTGCTTCTCTTTGTGTATGTCAAGCAATATGGATGGTGAACTTGGTCGAAGAAATCACAGGGAAAGATCATGGAGAAATTACCATGAAGATCGATAGCATGTCAGCTATCAATCTGGCGAAGAATCTGATAGCACATGGTCGAAGCAAGCACATTGAAATGAGGTTCCATTATCTTCGAGAGCAGGTAGCAGACGAGAAGATGAACTTGGAATACTGCAGAACTGAGAATCAGATTACAGACATCATGACAAAGGGAGTGCGAGTCGAAATATTCAGAAGACTAAGAACTATGATAAATATAGATAGTTTAGACACAATGAATTAGGTGGTGTGTTAAATTGTAATTCATAGTGTCAAATTAGTCTAAAGATTGTGTAAGTAGATTTTTACACATGAATTTGATTTAGATTTAAAATGGAATAAATTTGATTTAGGTCTAAAATATATATTTGATTTAGTTCGAAAATAGGTATTTTGAACTTTTATAGTTTTGGGGTTTGACTTAGGGAGCAAACTAACTTAAATCTATAAATAGAGGGAGTAACTCCTATTTTTTATAATCAATCAAGTTGTATTAATAGAATTTACAGTTGCAATTGAATAACAAATTTTTTCACAGTTTATAGATAGAGAAAACCTCTGTAGAAAATCATTGTTTTTCTTTCTTCTTTTCTTTCATTCATATAATTTATTGTTATTACGTAATGATAACAATTTTGTTCATCGAGATTGATGAAAATTCGTTATAAAAATTGGAGGATTTCCAACCTAATAGACTAATTTAGAAGAACTATTTATAATAAGAGAACAAACATATTTTTGCCTTAAAAAAATCTAACGACAATTTGTCAAGGGAAGTGTGAATGAAATAAGGACATAACGTAGTTATATTGTCTACTCCTTTATCTCATTTCCCCCCTAAATTCTCTCTCCACCGAAGGCTAAAGTCACCAAAAACATAAGTTTTTAAATTTTGTTTTTTTGAGTAAAACGTACTTACTTTATTTCAGCAGATATAGTAGACACACCACAACAAGTTTTCAAAGTTAGAAAAACTTATTTTTTTGTAAGGACTTAACTTGATAGGTACTAATAATGAGAAAAACACTAGACCTATATTATTTTATAATAATTAGTTAAATTGAAAATGAAAATGTATCACATATTTTAACCAAACAAAAAAGGGCACCGAAAGGGAAATAATGTGGTTTGAAAAGTTGAAAAATTCCACAAGGGCAGCATGAACAGTAGAATCCTTAAGTTGAGTCAAAAAGTGCAATCATAAGCATCATTTCTTTCTTCACGTTCATATCACCACCACATGTTTACACTCAAAAACTCTACCACTCACTTTCTTCTTACTAGCTTTCTATTGTTATAGCTATCTACACCCCCTTCCCTTTCACAATGCTTCACCAAAATATTGCAATGGAAAACAACTCTGAACTCTTTCAATTCATTGTTGCTAACAACCCTTCATTCTTTGACTATTCAAATACTCCTATGATGCCACAAAGTTTTTGTAGCTCTTCTGATAACAACAACTATTATCATCCTTTTGAAGTTTCTGAAATTACTGATACACCCTCCTCCCAACAAGATAGAGCTCTTGCTGCTTTGAAGAATCATAAGGAAGCTGAGAAGAGAAGGAGAGAGAGAATCAATTCTCATCTTGATCATCTTCGTACTCTTCTCCCTTGCAATTCAAAGGTTAATATTTTTTATTCATAATATTTGGCTTAGAGAAAAATTGTGTAAAGTATATTCTTTGGAATTTTCTTTTCGCTTCTTTAGGTCTCAAAGTTTGTACACTTTTTGACCAATAAAGCTAACTGTGTTTGTTTTAGTTGACTACAAAATTATACTTTACTCACTTTAGGAATTACGTTTCCATGAAACGTGTAGCACTTTTTAATAGAAGAGTGAAAATGTAAATGATAAAATAAACTATGTTTGTTTGTAAATTTTAACTCAATTAACGTAAGATATTATTAAATTGAACGTTATCATCACGGTTTAAATAAACCCTAATATCAGAATTATATGTATAAATTTTTAATAATTATTATTAGTATTTCATCTATAGAGATAAAATGGATAAATTAGGTTTTAATTAGTTTTTAAAAGACTAATAAAATGACCTTATTTACATCCTCCCGTTATTATTATAAACAAAGATTTTGTAATCAGATTCATCGAATAACTTATGTATATAATATAAGTATATATCAGATATATTAATTATTTAAAAAATCTTAAATGAATATTTGCTTATAATCATATTACAAAAGAGTTAAGTGATGATATGTTATATTTGTGTTTGGTTGATTTCAGACAGACAAAGCTTCACTTCTTGCAAAAGTTGTGGAGAGAGTGAAAGAGTTAAAGCAGCAAACATCTCAGATCACCGGACTCGAAACAGTTCCATCGGAAACCGACGAAATAACGGTAATCTCTGCGGGCGGAGACTTCACGGGAGACGGAAGACTGATATTCAAAGCGTCGTTATGCTGCGAGGATCGGTCGGACCTAATCCCGGAGCTAATAGAAATCCTGAAATCTCTTAGGCTGAAAACAGTGAAAGCTGAAATGTGCACACTGGGAGGAAGGACGAGGAACGTTCTTGTTGTTGCTGGTGATAAAGAGGATAGTGGCATTGAGTCTATACATTTTCTTCAGAACTCGCTTAGGTCATTGTTGGATAGGTCGAGTAGTTGTAATGATAGGTCGAAACGGGGTCGTGGGATGGATAGAAGAATGATGCCTTAACCTAATGCAGTGTGTGATGAATGATGATGACCTCGTTTTCATTTCCTAGTTATTCTGTTTTTTTTTGTTTGTTTTTGTTGGTTTTGGTTTCTAGGGCATTGGAAAGAACAAGGTTATGATTAATGTCATGTGATATTCTAATGTGGTGTTTCTTACTGAATACGTACGTGAATTGTATTAATCTATTAATCTAAGGAGTACACAATAAATCTATTAAGGTAATTTTTTTGTTCAGAGAAACGACTTAGTCAAATGTTATTTCTATCGAATCTTATCTATTATAAAGGTAAAATATCTTTTTTTTGTCCCGTATGTTAACATCAATTTCATTTTAGTCCCTTAATTAAAAAAAAAACTCATATTGATTTCTTAACTCTTCAAAATGCTTCATTTTAATTCTTTTTATCTAATTAACGACGAATTTAACAACTAATTTCTGAATTTTTCCGTTACTAATTAGACAAAAAATAGTAAAATAAAACGATTTTAAGTTAAAAGACTAAAATAAACCTTTATATTAACATACTGATAAAAAGAATATTTTACGTATTATAAACATTAATGCTCAAATTTAGCTTTTATTAAGATTTCATGTGTTAAAGATACTACTCCTAAAAGTTTGGTCGAAAAAATTTAATAAGCAAATTTTTTTTTGTGAGTTTAAAATTATTTTAGCAAAATTGATATTTTAGATATAAAATATAAAGAATTATCATAATGATGAGACGAGAAATTATAAAGTACTATTTTTTAAGGAATTTTCAATAACACTTAAAACTGAGGAGTTTGAAATTACTCTCCAACAGTATTGTCATATTGTGAAATTGTTTATCAGTAATCTTTTAAATTTGCTATTGATCTTAAATTTTTTTGAGATTATGAAGTAGATCCAAAATTTTCAAAAGATTCTAAATTGATCTTAAGTTTTGAGATTATGAAATAGATCCAAAAATTTTCAAAAGATTCCAAATTGATCTATAATAATTTTTTAAATTTACAATTCATCCCTTCTTTTTCAATAGATTCCTTATTTTTCAAAATTTTGAATTTTATCAAAATAGTTTCAAAATTTTGAATTTTATCAAAATAGTTTCAAAATTTTAACAATAAATATTTGTAATATTCTATCGAACAAAAGAATTTAAAAATAAATTAATTTTAGTTATTAGAATTATTTAGAATTTTTTTTTTAAATTTCAATTACCTCGTCTAAACACTCCATAAATTATAACGTATTACAATTTTTTATATCAAAGATGGTTTAAGTTCCAAATTAAGCATTAAATCCTTACAAAGTTAGAAATTAAAATTATAAAAACGAGTTAACTAACATAGAAATGTTTTTATTTTTGTAAATCCTTACAAATTCAAATAAAAATGGATAAATTTATTATATTTGTTATATTTGTTAAATTTGTAAACTCTTGAGTTTATAACCACTTACAATTTGATACTGATTTAACCTTAAAACTTAAAAATTTGTACAATGTTTTTTAATATTTGATTTAGTTAGTTATATATTGTAATTTTAAATTTTATTAGATTTAAAATTTAAGTGCACAACTTTAATGTTAATTTGAAGCACAACTATTATACTTCAATATGATTTTGTTACTTTTTTGCAATTTCATTTATTTAGATTTTCTATTTCTTATTTGGTTAAAGAAAAGAGAAAGGATAAGGAGTGTCCTAAAAGGATTTTTTTAGAGTTTAAACAATGAATTTTTAATGAATTTTATGCATTCAAGATATTGGAAATTAAAATGCTCAATTTTTTATTTAAAACCCTTAAAATGTGTCATTAAGATACTCATTAATAAGATATTAAATTATATTCTCTCTGTCTTATATAAATGTCTTATTTACATTTTTTCTTTGTCTTAAAATAATTGTTCATTTACAATTTCAATGCATAATTTATTATTATTTTTTCACTATTATATTTTTATTTATTAACTTTCATTTTATTCAACTATTCTATTAATAATAATTAATAGAGATATTCTAATAAATAACATTAATTTTTTCATTAAAGTCAAAACATCTATTAATTATTTTTTTTTCAACAAGGGTAGCTATATATAGATAGGGTTTATGTGATGTTTGGAATTTTTCGTACGGATTAATTGAAATTTATCTTGCATGTACTAGTAAGTAGAAAAAAAAAAAAGAGGTTAATTAATGAAGAGATTAAGAATGTGTGTATTTGTACTACTAGTTGAATAAAATAACGTGGTGTGCAAGTTGTAATGACACTTGTGATAGCGAAGGAAAGGAGTCTGTGATATCTGTAAAAGCAATGCTTCTGTGAGTTACCAAGCTACAAAAAATGGCATATTCGTTTTCTGTTTCAAATCATAGCCTGTTGCATTTTAGTACTTTGATTTATCTTTTTTACTGAGTTGACACTGATTCTAAAGAAAGAACTTGGGAGAGAAAATGATGGAAGGGTTGTTGGGAAGTGGAATTAGGGTTTGGATTCTAGCTCACCTCAGGTTATAATATACTGAAAGAATTTAGTTTCAGTTGTGTTTGTTGCTGCTTTTGCTTATGTGTTTGAATGTGACAGTGAAATGACAAAAAGGGTAATGGAAATTGGAAGTGAAATGACAAAAAGCGCGCACACACAAATATATATATAAAATTTTGAATTCAAGACTCAATTAATGCCATTCTACACAACTAATTACCTACTCTCTTATATCATAAATAATAAAATGTTGAATTCATGTTCTTATTTCAATAAAATGTTGGAAATTAGAAAAATGCGAGTCATATAAACAACATTAACCAAGTAGTTTGAGTTTTAATGATAAAAGAATTCTTATTAAGGACGTAATTAAGAGAATACTAGATTCGATTTTGAGGTGGAAAAAACGCAACACCTAAATCTACAAGAAAATAAAAATATTACATATTTGTAATGATTACGATTCTAACTCTAAAAAAGGTTTTTAGTTTTTGAAAAAGTTTTTTCTCTCATTAAAATAAAAGAAAATAGAACAATAAAGAAATAATAGTGACCGAGAGAGTGTTGAGGTAATGAGTTGCATTTGTCACAATTACAAATAACACATCTTATCTTAGAGGTAAAATGACTTTTACTTTGGTGAGATTGACGAGATAACGAAGGGTGATATGATAACTTGTCACATTACTCCTCGAATTTTATGAACTCGAAATTAGAAAGCAATTGGTTATTGGTTCGATTTCTAGCAAAATCATATTAATTTGTTTTAAATCTCATTTCCAATAGCCGGTTTTAAATCTTATTTTCATTAGTTTGTATCATTTTTACACATAAACTATAGAATATGTGACAAAATCAAAATATATCATATCATTTTAAATCTTGTAAACCCATAAGAACAAATTATCATTGTATTCAAAATCAAATGTACAAATTTACATTGTTCTAATCCAGACATTATACACATGTAAATTTTCAAAAATGACAAAACCACTGTTTATTTACAAATTAAGCTTATAAAAACCAAGAAAAACTATTGTTCTTGTAGATATTAAAACCTAGATATGAAGAAACCAACCAAACGTTCACGGATGTCGCCTATATCTTCTTTTGAGTATGGTGTTCTATCGTTGAACTCTTATAATTAGAACAAAATTTAAATTATGATAAGCTAACAACTTTTGAAAATAATTCCTTGTGTCGAAGCAGTTTGCTCGACAGAGACAAGGGAATGTCGCAAATATTTGATTTGATTTAGAAGTGTGGAAACAGTTTGTTACACACAAATTTATTTTAAATTTAGATAGATTTGATTTAGATATAAAATAAATAGATTTGATTTAGTTCCAAAATAGGTATTTTGGACTTTTATAGTTTGCGCTTTGCCTTAGGAAGCAAGTTAACCTAACATTATAAATAGAGGGAGTAAACCCTATTTTTGTAATCAAGTCAATTAAAATTACATTCACAAAATTTGCAGTTGCAAGTGAATAATAAAATTTTCCACAGTTTGTGGGCAGAGAGAAACTCTGCAGAAAATAGTTGTCTTCTTTCTTTCTTTCTTTTCATATAATTTATTGTCATTGTATGGTGATATCAATCTTGTTCATCAAGATTGATAGAAATTTATCATAGATTTTTGTGGATTTCCAATATCTGGTACGAAGAGCTTCGATTGAGGGATCAAGGGAGGAAGAAGAAGAAGAAATTCATGATGAAGATGAATTACACTAACAAAAAATTTTCAGCAAGTCTCCCAATTCTTAAAGGTGATAACTATGAGAATTGGTGTGAACAGATGAAGGTTATATTTTTTTCAAGGTCTTTGGGATCTTGTGAAACATGGATTAAAACCGCTTGATGAAGATGCTTTAGAAGAAGAAGAAGCAGAATACAAAGAATCGAAGAAGAAGAATTATAAAGCTCTCTTTATAATTCACCAGTGTGTCAGCCTAGACAATTTTGAAAAGGTTAGTGATGTTAAATATGTAAAAGAAGCATGGGAGATTCTGAAGAAATCATTTGGAGGCGCTGAGAAGGTGAAAGAGGAGGTATGAATTGCTTCAGATGGAAGATAGCGAAAGAATATCTAATTTCTCCACTAGAGTTACGAAACTAGTGAATCAAATCAAGACTTATGGAGAGACGTTAATAAGAAGAGCTATTGTTTCGAAGATCTTAAGATCTTTGGCTCTGAAGTTCGACCATGTGGTAGTTGCTATAGAGGAATCAAAGGACATGTCATCTTTGTCAAAGGAAGAGCTTCAAGGGACGCTTGAATCTCACGAATAAAGAATGGCTAAAAGAGCTGCAAGCAAGTCGAAGAGTGATGTGGCTTTGCAGGCTCAATCAGCAAGAGACAAGAAAGGCAAAGGAAAATGGTTCAACAATAAAGGTATAGGTGGTTATATCAATTCGACTGGTAGAGGAAACCAACACGAAGACAAACATGTTGAATCAAAGAAAATAATATCAAGGCAACCAAAAAGGTAGTGTTGCGAATAGAGGAAGAGGCGGTGGTCGAAAACCT